TTGAGCTTCCAGAGTCAGCTCCGGGTCGAGAAGCACTCCCAAGCTGCGGACCCTGTCCTTTAGAGGGAGTGCAATTCCATTCAGGACAAGATCCAAGTCACCTACCCAAGAGTTTGAACCACCCACCAGCATGACCTCCGTCTTGTCTGGATACAATTTTGAATATTAATTATCATTAGTGTTCTGTATTCTCAGCATCTATGTCCCATGTTCTCTGATGCTAGATAGATAGGTGTCTTACAGAAAGTACAAGGTCAGAATTGCTTTTGGACTTTGGAACAATGATTGGGCTCATTGGCATTCTGGGTGTGCAATTATCTCCAAAGCTAGCTATCAAAACTGTCAGATGTCGCATGGACTTGTGTTTTGTTCAACAGGACCGCATTCTGCATCTACCTCAGCTCCAAGGAACAACTTGTCTTGAATCAAAATGTTCAAATTTTTAAAGACTTAGCATTGACAGGCAGTGTGATCTATCCATTCTCCCTAGAATAACATATCACATATGCTATTTTAACCACAGTCTCCTGCAGATCACATTCTTCCTTTGAGGTAATTTCCCAAAGGAACAGAGGAAGATGCCTCTTACACATATGACCCCATCCTCAGCCTGGCTGACAGCCAGAACACCTGGATTTTTGGTAATCATGCAGCAATGTACTGCTCACTATTAAAACAGCTCATTTTCCCTTCTAGGACAAAGGTAACCTGGCAACCATTTTAATTATACTAAAGTATCAGTACAATGAATATTGAATGTCATATAAAGTCACGGGTCCTTCACAGCCCAATGAAAATAATAGATTGCACAGCTAGCTTTTGTCTTTTAACACAAATCTAACCTGGAGAAGAACAGTGCAGAAATATTTGCATATCATTGCCCACCATTGTGAATAATGTATTGCTTGCTTCCTGTCAACACTGTACAATGTAAGTATTTTAAGGCTGATCAAGTGTCCCTTTTTTCAAGAGGAAGATGGACTTGAGTTATTAATTGATTCATGTTACTAGTATATCATGCCACCAGGACTGCAGGCTTATATCTACCAATTATTATTCACTGCCTGTGATCTTAAATCTTCTGTGGATGATCCAAAGTGTAGATCTCAGGAAGTTTGTAGAAGGAGCAACAGCTTCTGTGAAGGTCAGTTTGGATGAGAGAAAACATTTATAAGGATTCTGTGTTCTGCTGGCAGGAAGGGAATGGAGTGGCCAAGGATTACTGCTGGCAAAGTATCAGGGAAGACCACAGGATACAAAACTAAGAAATAAAACTTACTGAGAGCAGACCATGCAACACACCACTGCAGGCAACACTGAACAAAAATGTTTAAGTCAGTGCTCAGGCACTTTCTTTCATGGCAATCCAGGAAGGCCAACGTAGTACATCCATCCCTACCTAAGCCACATAGTCCTGAAAGTATTGGGGGCGGAGCCATAGCACAGGTTGTTTGAACGTTGTTGTGCATTGGGACTGAGAATGAGTGAACCACTGAACCCCTCAGTGGGATGTGGATTATGTTGGCCCTTGTCAAGATCTAGGCTCAAATTTGCCTGCTGGTTTCTGGGACATGCAGTGGCTCAACATATGCTGCCATCTCAACAGCCCTGGTGCTTTCTTAGATAACTGCTGGATGATATTTCTCTTAGCTGAGTCACATGTTGGCACAACACATAGTTATCTGGTGTCTGAGTCTTGTGGAGTTATCCACATAGCATCAGGGCTGTAGTTTCTGACGCACACAGGAAAATCTAAAACAAAAATGTGGACAGGTCTTTGGACTCCAGTTGAAACATCTCCTGACTCACTTGGTTGGTCCTCAATCAGGTCAGAGTGCTTACAATCAAGCAGGGCTTCTGATTGCAGGACAAGTTGTATCCCAAGAAGACTCGCAAAGCAGTGGTTCCAGGCACCCTCAACAGTACAGTATAATGCATTCTTTGTTCTCCTAACCATCTGCTCTCCCTGTCCATTTGTCACTGAATGAAAGGGGCTGAAATGACATGGTGAATCAAGCAATGATCAAAGGAATGTGTGGCACTCCACTGATGTGAACAGAGTGCCATAGTTTGCATGTTGTAAAAAGTGTGTGTAAGGTCTTATGAATGACTTGTCTCTGATGAATTAGGAACTCCTTCCGATGATTTAGAGTAGGAATCATCCACCCTCTAGATCGCCTGCCATGAGAGGGGCCAACCAAGTCAATCTCAAGATCTCATTATGGAGGTTTTATTGTGTATTCCAGTTGCAGGGCCAGGGGATATGGTAGAGGTGGTCCTGAGGCTGGGCATTTTTCACACCTTTTGATTCAGTCTTCAGTGTTTCTAAGGCCACTACAAATAGCTATGGTCAAGTACCTAAATTTGTACTATGTGAAGTCAGGGTGTCCAGCATTAGAACCTCTAAACTCCAGCAGCTGAAAGGCATAAGGATAATTGCCGTCTTGCCCTATCAGACCATGAGTCCTTCTAGACTTATCCTGAGTCAGTCTATGTATCCATTTATCCCAGTGTTGTCACCACTACCTGACAGGGGCTCTCCAGGATTCCTGGCAGGGTTCCTTCCTAGCCCTATCCAGAGATGCAAGGGAATTAACCTGGGGACTCTGGCATGTAAAGCAGTACGACGCCACTGAGCTATGGTTGACACAAAAGCCCTGAATTCTTCTCAGGCTGCCAGTTGAGAACATGGAAATGAGCTGGTTGCATTTATGGAAATAATGTTGATGCACTACTTCCAGAAGGCTTTTGGGAGAAATGCCAACTATATATTCACACAATGCATAAGCAGGTGCAAGTCAAAGGTGTCTGCCCCATAGAAGCTGAATAATACAGCACACTTTTCCTTTGGCTTTATTATATCATTTAACAAATGGCATAATGTTCCTCAGTGTCAAAGCAGTACAAGAATAGAACCTATTACCTGGGCAACTTGTGGGCTCTCCCTTGCTTAGAGGCATTAGCAAGCCATCTGGACACTCATCTGAATGAGATGGTGTAAATTAGTGTCCTGCAACAGCAGGGGGTTGGACCTGATGGCCTTCTGCCCCCTTCCAACTCTAGTATTCTATGATTCTATGATATAAAACTCCAGCCTGACTATGTACCATTCCCATATTCTGGAGCATGCAGGGGTGAATTCTTACATCACCATATTCTACGCAATGTGCACATTAACCCTGGGGTGCTTTAGAATGAGTTCCACAAGCCTCAGGTGAGAACTCAGTCCTGGCTGAAGGGCAGGACTGAGTTCTTTCTCTCTGGTCCCACTTCTCTCTGTGTGTCTCTCATTCATGAGAAAACATCTGAGCTGCTCAAAAGCATCCCACCTTCATAACCAGTGAGATATATCATGGAGAGAAAACAACATAGGATGACTCATTAGCAAGAACTTTAATAAATGAAGTTTATTGTGAACAGGTGCAGACAGAACAAATATTATTCTTTTTGTATAGCTAGGATGTGAAGATGCCCATCAGGATCCCCCCCACTAAATTTTCTGCCAAGGAGGGATTTTAGCTCCATCCACACATTATGCATTCCTTGTAAAGATTATGCCCCCAACACTAAAAAAAATGTCCATGTGTACTCTAAGGACAGTCCTCTATTTGAAAGTCTGCCAGTGAACCATTCCCTGTTTGAAAGCAGGCTCTTTGTAAGGCTACCCAGTCTAAGTTCTGCTTAGAGATCAAGAACTATGAGAAAGGAACGCTGGAAGATGCATCCATGGTAGCAGCTGGAGAGAGAGCAGGAAGGTCACCCAGCCATAGTCTTCCCTATTAGGAAACTGTATTTCATTTCGGTTATGATAATTGCCTCTACTTTTACATATGCACATACAAATTAGCACTTACAAATTTTATGTACATCACTGCCACCTTTGGCCTCTTATTTGGTGCGGCATTTTGTCTTTTTTGATGATGCCTTAGTACCAATGCCCCACACACACATCCTTGTAATTAGGTAAGTAAAAACCTGAGACAGATCTGCATGCTGCCTATCAAGATAACATTTAGGTTAGCTCTCCTTTTCAGTGATGGGTGTTACAAAAATGAGCTGGTGGAGACAACTGCACAATGCTAAGTCAGTGCAGTTGCACTTTATTTGGAAAGCATGCCAGATGCATTTACAGTAAGAGCATGGTATAAACAGCACAATAAAACTCTTTGATTAATATCAGACTTCATAAGCTATACTCCTTAGGTAGGGCCCTGGTGGCCTATCATTCAGCATCTGCCAAGGTGATTTATTCATGCTCAGTCTAAGATACGAGTCCTTTGTTTTTCATTGTTTAAAATCAGCCATGCTGCATATCTGTCCCCCCTTTGTATCACAAAGTCTGTCACCCTTTCCTCGCATTAAGACCACTACTAAAGGCATTAGAGCTTACAGGAAAAACAAGGAGGGCAGAGTGCATCTTCCAGCTTCTGCTTCTCTAATAGAAGCTTCAGGGCAAAATGTAATCTGTATGCTAGTTGCTGATATATGTCCATTTTGAATAGATCTGTAGTTGTGCTCTGCTTTCCACATGGAACTGGTGATGAGGCTGGAATTAGCTGGCAGTTTTTCAGTCTGCTTTCATATGCTGGATGTAAAGCCAGAGAGCAGTCCCTTATTGATTCACCATCATCCGACCTTGCCATGGAGAGGGATCTAGTGATAGAAAATTGCCTGTGGGAGAGCTGTCATCTTAAAAGAATCCTTTTTGTTTGATTCAAAATGCTCTAGATTTGTTGACCTTCATGGCACAGTGTAAATTTTGGGGAATTATTCTGGCAGTAGAGATATGAATAGAGGGCTGCTTTTCTAGAGATAATAAAGTGGAGAATTTGAATTGTGCATTACTTCTTTGGTGATCTCTTGAGGCAGAACTAAATGTTACAAGACAAACATAAAATTCCCAACCCTTTGTTTGCCCCCTAAAGTTAATGCTGGTGCCTGTGTGTTTGGTGGTTGGAGGGAACAGTCGCTGGAGGAAATCAATGAGCAAAAGAAAAGGGGCCTATTCATTAATTTATTGATTTGTTCATTCAATATATGAGTTGCCCTATGGCTGAAGCTCTCAGAGATAGATGCATAATAAAAACAAGACAAAAAGTCAACAATACAACACATTAAAGGAATGTGGTAGATGTTTCTCAAAGCTGCAACAATAGTTTTAAAATGATATTAAAAGAGCTGTTAAATAGATAAAATATTATGTCAAAGGCAGCACTGACTGTATTAAAAACAAAATAAACAGGAGTAAAAATTCTTTTTAAAGACACAGGTAAATAAAAATATCTTTGCATGGTTCTCAACAGTCAACAAAGCAGGTGCCAGGTGGACATCTCTAAGAAAGGTATTCCACAGTCTGGGGGCCATGGGAAACCTAATCTCAGCCCACAGGGGCATTCAGAGCAGAGTCTCAGATGTTGATGTCAGCTTACTGGCAGGAACATATAGGAAACATCTAAATTCTTCCTATACCTGCCAATTCTTAACAGAAAATACCTTCCCTTCTCTGAGCTGTTTTCAACTGGTTTTTTCCTACCCAAACTCTGAGACCAGAAATATTTCCACCTGGAGGGAAAGTGGAAGGATAGGGCAGAGAGGCATTCAAGAAATTGCCAGTGGGTACAGGAAAGATTAAAGCCTGATCCTGCATTTCTAGTATTCCAGCAAAGTCAAATGGTAAGGAGCATGCATCTGCCAGCTCATTGGCATAGTTGTTCTTATTTCACACACACGTAGAAGTTTGATATGAATTTCTCATCATGGTGCTTGACTGTGAGCAAGTCCATGTAGCGTTGATTCGGAATCCCAGCAGTTCAGTGCCAATCATGTGGGTCTGACCATCAAGAACCTACAAGAAAATGGATCAAAATAAGCTTTCTCAAAAGCAAGGAGGTTTTAGAAAACTAGGAATGCATAAACTATAACAATGAAGGAAGTAGAACACTCTGAAGCATAGTGACATCTTTTGTTTTCTCCAGTTGCACTGTGAAGACACTTTATAGGTTTTTGAACAAGGGGAGCGCTGAACCTTATCCAGTAGACACAGACTAAACAAAGTCTATGTACCAAATTGGACTGATTTCAATAGCTTCGTGCCTACAGCAAGTTCATAAGCAATACTGTATCTGACAGAAAAGCAATGAAGCCAAGATTCTATGGCCATACGAGTTGATGAATTTAACCATTCATAACTAGTCAATTTTACTGGCTCCAGTTGAGCTATAGTCCTGATGCAGGAAAACTTATTTGTGTAACAGTATGATGGTATTACTGGCAATATGCATTCTGAGCTGCCTTACCGGGGGAGAGGGAATATGTCTCCTCATCAACACTGTTCATTTTATTCTTTAAAATGAGATATCCTTCTCCATATGCTCAAGATGACGCACAACAGCCTTATTGCTCCATATGCTAAAGTTGACTCACAACTGCATGTTATAGAACAGTATCAGAATGGGTATCTTGTAGCACAGAAATGACAAATGGCGACTTTTATCAAAAGCTTCCTTCCCTGAATAAGTGGCTATATAATTTCTGCCAACTAGGAAGGGCTCATACAACTGTGCTAGGCCTGTATCCATCTGCCACAAGGGGAATGCCAGTCATATAACCCATAGGCAGAAGTTGTGGACATCGGTAGGCTGGAGACCTGATACCAGTGCAGTGTTAGGGTTAGAAGCCAAGGGCTAGAAGAAGGAGGAATGGTTACAGATGAACAGGAGGGCTGATGCTAAATCAGGCATCGAAGCCTGCATTGCTACTCACATGACAAAGGGCTCAGATTGAGAAACTAACTAGGAAGGAAAGAAAAAGTATTCTCAAGTAGCTTTGCCAAACTGTGGAAACTCGATGTCATTGAGTTATCATTCCCACTACCACCAACCATTGCCCATGTTGTCAGTGGATGATAAGAAACATTGTTCAACAACCCCTAGAGAGGCATGGTTAGGAAAGCTTCATCTAAGTGTGTACTCTTAGACATGTTTAGACCAGAAGAAAGGCTTATGACTCCCAGCATTCTGGTTTGAGCGTGCTGGGGACTGTAGGCCTTTTTCACCCAGTCTAAATATGCATGGGAGTCTGCCTTAAAGAACTCAAGAAATTCTATCTCCAAGCAATGGAGTGAGCTACTCTAAATTTCTTACCTCTTTAAGTTAAATTGACTTTATTTATGTATTCATTTCTATACAATGCAATAGCCAAAGCTCTCTGGTAGTTTACAGCAATTCATAAAACAGGCAATGCAATGCCATATAAAATCATCATATTTTAATCTTTGTTGCTACATCTACTCTAGAGGTTTGGATGGATTTAAGTTACTCCCTCTGTAGCTATTAAATCAACTGAAATCTCTAGAAGGGATATAACAATGACAATTAAAATGTGGAGGGTTTTTTTTTTCCACCAGCGGAAGTGGTTCCAGTGTCCTTGGCATGGAGTATCCACTAAGGGTTTCAGTCTGAATTCTTAAGAAGCTATTGATGGTGCTGAACCATATCCCTAAATTGACTCAGTCTGATGGATAACTCCTTTAAAGTTCAGACTGAACACACTGCACCACTGACATTGGAGCACCAGTCCCTGCTTGGCTTAGCTGTTGGGAAAAGCCTCCATAGAAGAGGCTCACATAACTGTGAAGAAAGAAGGCCTTTTGGCAAACCATCAGTTTAAATACAAGTTTATAAGAAACCACAGAACAGAGGCCTTGTTATAAAGATTTCTATTTATTTTGAAATTTTCCATTCCTGAAAGAGTTTAATCATGTAATCTCAGTGGGTCTCACCCTGGCAAATGCTTTGCGACCAGCCTGCCCGCTACTTTGCTCATGTGCATTCAGGTTCTGATATACTTAGAAGCTGAGTGTGCAGAACGCTCTAAATCAGACAAGTGAGCTCTTATTTCCTCCATCCTGTCACTCCTGTATCCACATTCAGAACAAGCCACTCTCTGTAGCAGTTCAGCCCTCCATTGCGTAAATATTTAATGCCATGACCATAGGTTTTCAAGGGGGTGGTTAGTCAAGCAAAGGGGATGTTAAAGAGTGTATTTGAATGAAGCATATATTTTCCTTTTCCTTCTTTTCAGAGGCTTTCAAAACATCAGGGTTCATTTCATTCTCCAGCTCTGTCAAAATGGCAGGATTTAAAAACATAATTATTTTCAGCCATTCATGCACTATGCCAAGTTAATCAAACATCTGCAGAGGTGAAATAATTTGTGTTTTCTAATTTATCAAAGAAAGAACTGCCATTTTGGTTGAAATGATCTAATTCTAATTATTACAAGGAATAATAAAAGTTCAAATAACATATATGTGTATGTTTGGGTGAGGATTGAACTTATTATATTTCCTTTTAAATCTGGTGGTGTTGGTTTCAACTGGTGATTGGTTTTACTTTCAAGTGTAAAAATGGATAGGCATTCAACAGACAATAAATATCTGAAATTTTTACTTCCTTGCCCCCTCCTGCCAAAAAAGATTTGTGTTTTCCTTGAATTAAAATGCCACAGGGGAAAATTGCTGTTTGGTGTGTAAGAATAGAGAGCATTGCCAATTACTCCATTTGAAGAATATTTCCAAACTAATACCAGTTTCAGTTTTTATCAATCTCCCCACTCCAAAATAATAATGAGATGGTTAGCGTATCGGACTGGGGAACTGGGAGATCCAAGTTCCACTCAGTCTTGATGCTTACTGGGTGTTTTTGGACCTATCATTGACTGTCACCAACTGCTTCACAGATCGGTGTTGTGAGGAGAAAATTAAATTATGTAAGCTGTCTTGGGCTCCTCGCAAGAGGAAAAAAGGTAGGACATAAAATGCAAGGTGGTGGGGGGGTGGGGGGTGATGGTGATGATGTTACTAGGATGCTTGGGCTATTGCAGGCTATATAGGTTGAGAAGAGAACAGGATGACTGAGACATACATTTATATATCCTGTTGAGTCAAAATGCCTGAAGCAGGCTGAGGCTAACAATACATCTTGTATCAAAACTTAAGGCAGAACCTCTTTCACACATACACAAGCATTATGCCCTTCTTCCATGTAATCCTGTGCTGTTGAAGAATATCCATGAATCTATCAGCCTCCTAGGCAAAGCCAGCCACATGGCTCTTTCCAAAGGACCTCCAAAGGGATGGGATGCAGACCTCCAAGTGTGCACATATACGCACCAAAGACAGTCACAAAGTCTATGGCTTCATATTAGAGAATGAAATCTAAACATGAAGTAAGTGAAATTCATCCCAGAGTCTGGCTTTTACATTATAATGGAGGTGAAGTAATAGGCTGCAACTTGCAAGATGGGCAAAGCTATCCTCTTCTGTTTCTAGTCAATTTGACTTGGACAATCAGTAAAGTTATCAACAAAGGAAAACTTAACATGCAGTGTTGTAAAATGGAACCCCCTTTCAACCCATGACTCATCGCACCTACAGTATATGCCTTGTTTTATGTTTTCTCAAGATTCACAACCACTCAACTTGTATGTATACTATAATGTATAGCAATGGATCAAAGTATTTTAAGTTTTTCATCAAAAATTACTCAAAAAGCAGCATCAATATATGTTAAAAGAATCAAATGAATATGCATGTAATTAGTCACAGAATAATTACACCTATGTGCTAAGAAATTCGGAGGTGGTAAATTAATTCTGTGTACATCAGTCATAAAAAGTTTCCTTCTCAATTATACATGGGCTCATTCATAATTATTCCCAAGGTTACCTAATTAAGTGCATCAGCAGTTTAAAAGTTTGAGGCATTTAGCTATTTGAGTTCATACATGCTGATAAGCCTATGGCTTCATTACTGATGTTAATGGAGAAAGAAGTAGATGGTGCCCATTCCAGAAGTGAGCAAAAAGGCAGGCACCCAAAAGCAAATTCAATTATCGAGAGTATTAAGGGGGAAATCTTGCCAAACCCATACATTATGCAAGAGAGGAATTATGCTACAAATAAACAAACACATATAAACAAATGATCAAGTAAGATATTACAAAAAAGAGTGAAGATGGTGCAGGGTAATGCCATTGCAGAAGCCAACCCTTCAGTATAGGCTCTAGGACTGGGGTGGGGGGGGAGTGGTGATGGACAGGTGGGGTTCTGCTTCTCCTTGCCTGCTCAGTGCTTGGAATGGTGGGAAGGGGCAGAGTGGTGTGATGGGCTGAAGAACAATCATTCTGGAGAGGAGAAGGGACAACATCTGGAGAATGCTTCAGACTCAGGGGTGGAAGCTGGAAGAGTTACCTCAGCCTGTGTATGAAGGTGTAAGTCTCCAAGTGAACAGCTGGATGCATCTTCTGTGAAAGTAAACTTGTTTTGTGTTATGGTTAACCCTTGATATGAGAGGAGATTAACTAGAGGAGGGAACACACACATATTACAAAATAATCTGGATGTAGAAAGGAGGTAACTGTGAGGGAAATAACTGAAGTCATTGTCCTAGATGGCCTAAGACTGTTGATACCAAAGGATTGGGGTGAGGAGGGAATGCCCTGCACAACTTCTGGCATGTCCCTGAGGGATCAAGAAGAGGACTCTCAGAAGAAGGGGGCTGAGTGTCTTCTGTGAATCTCAAGGGTGAGGCAGGCATGAGACCTGGGGGGATCCAGTGACCTGAATGTGAGGGCCCATAGCTCAGGCAGAAAAGCTTTATGAAGCTCATGCTTCAGGAAGCTAAAATACATGCTTCACAGAGCAGGAGTGGTGGCAGAAGTAATAAAAAGGTTCTGGCTGGTGGTGTCACCGCAACAGCCCTCACAAAAAATCAGTAAAACTTCATCCGGGGGTACACTACATTTTGTGTTCCTGATATTTTTGCCTAAAGCTGCCCTAGCCAGC